GAGGAGGAGGAGGAGGAGGAGGAGGAGGAGGCAAAAACATAACCAGTGATAGAAACAAAAATGTTGGAGTTAGTAAGGCTGTTTTTAGAGTCCAGTCCTGGGCAGCACATGGGTCCGATACAGATAAACATGGAAAAATTGAGGGGACTCTACAGAGTATTACATATTTCCACGTGAGTAGGGACCTATCACTGTCTGAAACAAAGATAAAAAATGCAGTGCCTGCAGGAACCAGTCTTTTGGTAAACACCACCCTGGATGCTCACCAGGCTTTGTACTCCCTTTATTTTTTAAAAAAAGACTTTTTGGATGAGGATGGGGAAGGAATCTGGCCAATTGCAAGGAGCAAGAGAGCCTTTGGTCCCACAAAGATACAACAGAATAGTAAACTGCATCTTCTGAGGATGTTTGCCTTCTAGTTCATGGCATTTTAAACAAGCTATGGGAGATTGTGAATAGGCAAGGCTGCCATTTTGTGAACACACCTATTATGTGCTTTCCAAATTCCACATGCAGTTGCAGGGGAAAAAAATGTTTATCTGTGGTGTGAAGTCATCCCTTTCACTGAAAAAGAAGATAAATTTCTCAGACCTTACTTTCTACAATGAAAGTTAGCTAGTAAATAAATGAACGGTGCCATGTTGGAAAGGACTCTTAAATTAGCCATATCCTTCCACCCCCACAGTATGGAAAAAAGCTGCACCTTTCCAGTTTAGAGTTCATGCCACAGCAAGGGAGCCTGAAGCCATGCAAGGGAGACCTATGGCAGGAAAGTCCAAGGAGAAAGACGGAAAAGCAGCAACAGAACAAACCAGAAAAGGAGAAGGATCGCTGTCGGTGAAGAGGAGGATGGGGGCTTTTCATGCTCTTCCGGAGGTCCCGGAGTTTGGCGTTGTATTCTGACAAGGTGAGATGGAGGTAGGGTGGATAGGAGTAGAGGAGCAGAAGGTCAACCAAGGATGAAACAAAATCCATCATGGAGAGTGTGTGAGAGAGAGAGGACACAGAGAAAGAACAAAATTACAACAGACAAAGGAGAAAAGGGGAAAAGAACATAAGAGAAAATATTAGTTGAAATTTTACTCCAGACTTTAAGACATTGCCTTGAGAGTGGGTCATAATACAAGACCTGAAGAAAACTCTTCAATTACTAGTTCTTTCACTGTACCTTGGATATAGAGGGTAACTTCAGGAATAAGAATTCTGAGGTAACAAACACCATTCAGACTGCTAGCTTCCTTTGGACTCAAACCATGCTCAGGACACAACCCTTATCAACTTGGTATTTGAACCTCAATCTGACACATGGTGGTCTAGCTCATGGTAAAAACAGGATGTGGTCTGTTGTGGCTTCTTCATCTGTATTCCTCTCACATGTAAACAGGGTGGGAAAAAAGAACTCCACTGGGCAGTGGTGCAGACTGAGTCCAGAGGAAGAAACAAATGAAATGAAATAGAGAACAGCAATAATATCAGGAGGTGAAGGACCTCGTGGTTATCTCACCTAAGGAGTTGATAGTGTGACAGGATACAGATAAAATGCAAATGCAATCATGATATAAATGTGGCTCTATGACTACTCATATTATAAGAAATGGAGTATCTGTGATACAGACATATCTGGACCTTCTTCAGTAAACATTGCTGCACTTCCTCTTGACCAAAGGCTCAGCCTATCTCTCTATCCTGTCCTGAGTTTCTTCTCCTCCATCACTAGCACTTTACATTTTTTGCCATTGCAACAATATGCTCATTTTTTAATATTTGTCTAAGTACCCATTTGTTAGTAATTAGTTTAACCAGAAAATGCATCTATTTCACAAGCCTCATGTACTGCCTTTATCAGATACTTTTGCACAACTGTCAGTTCTGTCAGTCTGTGTTAATTAGCTAACAACATACATGGAAAAAGTAAGGTGGCAATTTAATTATAATTCCATTATAATTCCATACTTTTGAAGAAAAGCTTAGACTCAAAATTATTTTTGTTGCTTGTAATGTTTGAGAACTGCAATAAATCAGTGGGGTAACTAAGATTGCCTTCATATTCATATATCAAGTACAAAAAGGTTCATGTTAAAAGCATTTCTCTCAACCTCTGCCTCAGCATTTCCATACAGGCTGCAATCCTATACCTTCTATACGTAGGAATTCCCTTTTGGTGGGACTTACTGCAGAGCAGACATATATAAGACTGTGCTGTATCTGTCATTTAGCGATGAAAAATTTATGTATTGCTATTAAAATGCTTTCCCAATATTTATTTTAATAACAAACTTCAAAACGTATGAAATCTCCTACTCCTAGATAGCAAATCTGGATTCAGGGTGGATTTTAATCAGTCCTGAATACCAGGGAATTTGGGAGTTTCCTCAATATGCAGTTCCACCCTCCATCCAGAAAGGCTCTCATAGGAGAGGTAGGCATGTAATATGAACTAAATTGTATAAGTAACTCCATTAATTCAGAGGAGGTTAAATTTAGCCCCAACTGTCCCAGTCCTCTGCGGGATGGGGGCTAAATTACTTTGCTTTCCTCTCCATGTTGTGTGAACAGCCTACCAGGGAATTAGTTCATTCTTGTGCCAGAAACTGAGATGATGTCCTAAAGAGGCCATATGAAAACAGCCCCTCTGTAGGAACTGCTCTGTAGTTTTTACCAGCCTGAAGCAACTGGGGGTTGTGAAAAAGGGGTGGAAAGTGATATGGGGTAAGCAAGACTTCCCCTTTACATCTGTCTTCACTGGCACACCACAAATTCCTCCACTCCAGAAAAGAAGTAGAGGGAGAAGAGGCCAGGAAAGCCAGAGCTTCCGGCATCTTCCGGAATGGTCAGAAGGACTAAAGCAATGTTTCTCAAACTTGGCAACTTTAAGATGTGTGGACTTCAACTCCCAGAATTCCCCGGACACCCAAGCACACCAGACTAAAGGATTCAGAGGGGATGACAGAGTTGTTATGGCTGGCAAACCCAACCCAACCGTAGTGAAATGGATTATGAAGCATGACTCAGCCAGATCGTGCTAATTGTTCCAGGGTTTCCATTTAGACCTTGGGTTCTCTTGGGATGAGCAGGATTTTCAGGGATGCTGAAACTAATGCTTAGCTTTTCCTGGGAAGCAAGTCCTCCTAGTGACATTTTGCTGTAATCACTGCAGGAGGGGTCCCCTGCCCCTGAATAGGAAACTGGAGTTCTCATGACAGCGAGAACCAGAGAGGAGGATGATCTGTGAAATTCCACACATACTTGCCTTGGAACAAACAGGCAATTTATAGCAAGTCATTGTAAATAACATGCTGGCCCTTGCTCTTTCAGCTTGTTCTGGGCATTTCCTTCTTATCATTCTCTAGCGTCTGCCAGTTGTTTGCTTTCAAATTGGGCTGCATGATGGAAAGGGCAAACCTGTCCATTTTGGTTTCATTTGAGTTTTCATTTTTCCAATCTTATATTTAGATTCTCCGTCGATTTGCATTTAAAAACAAAAAGTCAACACAAAATTTCATATGCATTTTGTGTGCATTTCTCCCAATTTACATTTTTTTTCCCGAGCAGTTTGTCATAATAAGTGACTTTGTGCATGCTTTTCCTAATGTGTATATTTTAGTATGCTCTTTTACTTAACACATGCATTTTTATGCTTTCTTTTTTGAATTGTCAAACTACATCTCCAGGTCCAGAAACCTGTATTTAGCACATTGGTGCATCAGTTCACATACATGTTCAAGAAGTTCAAATTGGATAAGTTCACACTGAATTGAAATATGAACTGAACACATTTCCCCTGTAACTTTATTAAAATGTAGATTTTGAACAAGTTCTAAAAAGTAAGTTTCTTCTGCAACACATTGAAGTACTGTTCTGGAGAAGATGAAAAATCAGTGGATTATGGGTATTACTGCCAATTTCCAGGCAAACAAGCACTGCTTACTGCTAGGTTTTGCGTGAATGGACAAAACTCCTTTTATCTGAGTTCAGGCTGTGAAAGAACACTGAGCACCTAAACTAAATTCCAGGAACGTATTTCTACCACAGATTCACTACTTAAATTAAGTGCATCTACACACATTACAAGAATGTGTAGCACAGTGAATCAGCCTTGTGCTACTTTTTTTTTTCATCTTACTGTTTTCTTTATCCCCAAATAAGCCATTTTCTCTCTGCTCCCCAACTAATACTTTTAATGCCCACGCCCCAGAAGCTGAAAAGCACCCTTGGCTAGCACTGATGGCTGGATTAGATCCAGGACGTTTCTGAGTAGCTCTACAATTAAATACTTTTTCATCTAATTACCATCTCTGAAACTGCTGAGGCTGACACTGCATACTGAATGCAATCGTCACATTATTTCCCCACCACTATGTATCGTGGTTTTCAAAGAATTCCAGAGCTTTAATCCCAAAAACAGTTTTGGAAAGTGTACCCTCTGTAATTTCTGCTTGGGCAAAGCTTGTTCAATATGCAACCTTGTTCAATATGATGAAGGCACTTACTGAAGGAACTATTGTTTCAAAATAATCTATCCATATCAGTTAAAAGGGAGGGTTGCCTGAATACATTTTTAAAAACCTTCATGGTATCCAAGACAAAACATATTTACCTGTTGTCATATACTGCATGGAATAAAATCTAGAATCTGTTATGTAAATAAAAAGTCAAGTCTGTTTTAAGATGGCAAGCTTCTAATCATCAGGTTTTGGATCAGCATTTTTTTAAGGTGGTCAAATATATGCTTGAAGAGAGATGTTTAAAAAGCACCTGGACAGCTGGGTTTAGTAAAATTATCACTAGGGGTGGAAGAAAAGGCTGTTGAGCATGGCATTAGTAATGGGTCAGGAGTGGGGATCTAACAGGCTAAAGCGTTTTAGTCCATTATAATTCCCTTCCACTGATTATAGCAGGGTCAAAGATGCTTTCGACCAGGGTTATAGGCCAAAGGGTTAGGTACCTTGTCCTTTCTGTGCCACAGACACGCTACAAAAAGTGGGATTCCACCACTTTTTCAGATATCTAGAGTAGCAAAGACAAAGCTCTTCGGCAAAGCCTTTTTCACCAAAAGGGAAACAATTATGGGAATTTCACCCATTTAAACTCATGCACATTACTTGTTCTCAGCAAATACCATTTTCTCAGCTTGGAGAATGCAGAGCCAAGCCCAAGACTTCCAGTGCTCTGGGCTTCAGAAAAAGACATGAAAGAAGCACCCGAGGCTATGGAATATTGAGCTTCTATGGGTGTGGAGGACATTTCCTTCCTAAGTCAACAACTTGCAGCAAAGACACTAAAAGCTTTTTGCCACTCACTCACTGGATATAAAATCAAATCAAAGCCCTGTCTTGTTTGCCACAGTCAGCCTAGCAGTTGCTGGGTAATTTCTCCCTAAGATCCAACCTATCCAACAATGTTGTATTGTATGTTTTAATGTCAACTGCTAACAATTACACATTAGAAATACGGGCTTTCATATGTTTCAAGTTGTAAATTTGGGGCAAGGGAGGCATAGATGCACGGTACCAGCCCACTGATTAGCTGTGGCTATCAGAACCCAGGGAGAGCATCCAAATCCAGAGAAGTGAGCCCAGTGGCCCCCAAAATCAACTTTTCTCCTTCTGGGAGAAGGAAGGAAGGGAATTCTCTACAAAAAAAGCTTGGGGAAAGGTTTGTGGTACTCACTGTTAACTCATGTTACAAAGAGACTATGTACAGATTACAGAAAGCCAACATATAGCAATGATACCCCAACTTGCAGGTTGAAATGGTGGGGGAGGGGGATCCTCTAGTCTTCAATATGGGACAATTAGGGCTGCAGTCCTGCCTGTACCTCCAGCTTAACAGGGGCAGACTATCTGAGCTATAGTATGTACTATGCTGGCACTATCAAATACTTGGTGTTTGAATATGACACACTTGCAAAAATGCTAGCCATTACTGGCCCAAGACAATAACTTATGTGAAATATCTGAGACATTTTCACACCCCTATATTAATTCATGCATTGCTATGCATAGGGGAATTCTTCAGCTATGCATTTTTCTCCATGAATTGCCAGGGCAGCCCTTCCTTTAGCTACATCAATGCTTGAATCTCTTTTATTGCACCACCAACAGTCCCCTTCTAACCTCTCAATCTGTAACCTCCTGGAACACAACCTCCTTGGGCATGGCATGCAGATCAAGTATGAGGCACAGTGCCCAGGCCATTGTTTAGTACTGAATAAATAGTCAATAGCAGCTATTGAAAATCTATGCATGCTTAGAGAAAGGCCATTGTGGGTGCAAATGAAACATTCTTCTTTTCTGTATTACCGTATTTTCTCTGTGCTTTTTATGGGAAGAGTTCAGTTTATCACTTTAATTTGAATGAAGCCATCCTAACAAAACCAAGTTCCTAAGCATCCTACTACCTAGAAAACCCACATTTCAATCCCTAAAATAGAGCCTGCTTATTTGTAAGAAAACACAAAGCAAGACTTCCTTACCTGCTACTCTGTGAGCCACCAGACCTTCAAGATGCAAAGGCTCTTCCCCTGAGGCCTGAGAGGCTTCTCCATGACTCTCAGCCTCCTTTAAGGGCATCTGGGGTTGGACTGCTGTTGTGGATGAGGGAGGTGATATCAGCAAAGGATGCTGCCCTTCCATGACCTTGCATGCTGCTGCATGAGACCTAGGAGATGTGGGAGAGCTTCCTGCCATCTGCCCATGGCTTTTTCCTTGTATGACAATTGGCTGTTGGTTCTGATAGCCATATGGAGAATAGGCCTCTCTGAAATCTTGTGCTGGACGCTCTGGTTCTCCAGCACTGTTGAGCAACAGTTTCATAGGATGAGCTTTGGGTACTGGTTCGGCCATCTGGGGCACACTGGTGCCTAGGGAGTTTTGTGAAGGGCTTCCTGGAATCAAGCCAAAAGCATTGGTGGCCTTTGGTTGCACCACTTGAGGTCCAATCACAGGTTGGGCAGACATTGAAAGAGTTACTGGATGTGGCCTGTCTTCTCTGGAAGCCAATGGAACACTCTGGGATTTGTGCATCATGGAGACAGAGGGATCCAGGTCATACATGAGCATGTTGAGGGCTTCAATTGACTGTTCTATTTCCTTCTGGGAGGCAACTCTAGGGAATTCAGGGATGCTGATGCTTTGAGGGGGTGCTGCTTGTGAAGGGCTGGATTGAGGGCTCACACTGGCAATACTGGAACTTTGGCTGTCTCGAGCACCATCCTGTTGACGCGATGGTGGTCTGCTACCTCCACCTTGTTGCTGCCAAGAATTAAGCCCCCTCTGGACAGCTTCCCGACTACTTGTGCTTCGGGCTGGTGCTTGGGGAAGCTGGGAGGTTTCAGCAGTAGCTGTGGGGAAGGACTGGGAGCGGTATATGCTATTTGAGTCACAGCCATAGGGATACTGCTGGCTGGAGGCTGGTAGCTGGGGTTGTAACCAGCCAGGAGTGGGGAAGCCATGCTGGTGGTAATCAGCCAGATTTTCTTGGGCAGACACCGAGGGCCGGATGTGCCCGTACAGATCATGAGGATGACGCCCCATGATGTTCCGCAAGGCATTCTGGTTGTTGTAGGGATAACCACCATTGATAACCATCTCTGAATCATGCAGCTTGTCTAGGCCATTGAAATTGGACGAACCATTGGGCAAGGAAGTGAGGCTCTCCATCCGGGGGGCCTCATGATAGCCCATGTCACTGGTGTTGGTAGTGCCATCGAAAGAGGAAAGGGTACCTAAACTACCCACACTGTGTCCATCCTGGTTGGGCAACTCATCATCCAAAATGTCAGTTTCCCTCTCAGCCACTAAGCCAGCAGCTTCTCCATTGACATGAACCTGAGCTGGTATTATATGGCGGCCAGATGAAGCAGAAGCAGCCACTGTTACCTCGCTGGGGCTGTGGTTGTGCATGGTGGCTTCGTTTTCCAAACCAAATCCACTGAGCAAACTCTCAAGCTCCCGCTTTTCTTCAGGGGTCAAAATAGGGTTGTTTCCTCCACTGCTGCTGGGGACTGAAGGGGCTGCCTGCTCATCGGTCTTGTCTGTCTTGGTGGACGCCGTTGAGTTCCCTGAATCGCTGCTGACCGAGAGTGTGTGCTCAATGTGGTTGGGGGCGGCAGAAAGGGCAATGCGATTGGGGTTGACAGTGCCAGTGCTGCCGTGAAGCGAGTCTTTCTTTTTCACCTTGGCATAGAGGCTTCCATCTAGGGGCCCTTGAGTGTGCCCAACTTCTGCATGGAGGATCAGAGAAAGAAGACAAGGAAATCAACAGTTAAGCCAGATCTCCCAGTTGAGACTTAAATAATGTCTTGGCTGGTATCTGCTTTTAGTTACAAACAGAAGAAACACTGCAACCCTGCCAACTGACTGCCGGGCACACCATATCATGTGCGCTCCTGTCCTCTGCAAAGAAGAGACACCAGTCTGCCTCCCTGAGGTCTGCGCCATATCCCCCTGCCACAGGAACTCATTCCAGCTGAAGAAGCACTGATGAAAACTGGGCCAAAACAATTGTACAGGACTCCTTCCCCTTTTCTTTCCCCCCTCCCCCCCATCATCTGAACACAGGATGTTTTGTGGCAGATGCACTTTACATTGATCCAAGGATATAGGAAACCTGGGGGGGAGGAGGGAGGGGAGGGGGATGTAAAACTACAAAAATATAAACAGTCTCCCATGAATTGCATTCTAGGAGCTGAACCTCTGATTTTTGCTATAAGCCAGGAACTACAAAATACAGGAGGGTTTTCAAGCACCAGACAGGCCCCTATATAGGTCTGCTTGGTTCTACTTGGCCAAAAAATGGATCTTGGCAACTGCAATGGAGAATATAATGAAAAAGTTGGCTGAAAGTGCAAGCTTCTCTCTACTGGTTGCTGAGGAACATAAACGGGAGGGTACTGTTATCTCCAATATTCTGTTTGTGAGTTTTCTGTATTTGACCCACCACTGTGGGGACCAGTGTTAGACTAAGGACATGCATCTGTGACATGTTAATCAGGCAATGTGACAGGTGGTTAAACACACTGCTCCACACTTACCTACACTTGCCCAACCCATCTCGCCCCATTAGGGACAGTGATTGGTGGTTGTTTTTCCACTGGCAGCTGAAATTCAGTAGGAGAGAAATGAAGGAATCTACCAATCGTATTCCTTAACTTGTCCCATATTAAAACTATACTGTCAGCACCAGTTGTTAGCCTAATTACAGAGATAGAATAGGACTTGGTGATCAACCCAGCAAATTTTATGCCAACAGAGTTTTCTGCCAACTCAAAGACTGGTGAGTTGTCTGCCTGTGCCCTAAATAAGACTTTGGTCATAACTGTCACAAGACAGTATTTTCTGTTTTAATGCTGAATAAATAGAACAACTTACCCAGAGATCTTGTCAGATAAGTAAGATTAAACCTCTGTTTACCTTCTTATATGAAAGATCTCTGATAAAATTTATAGTTGCATTAGGTCACACATTTGATGCTTCAAAACTATTTTTTGTGTGGTGTTCAGGCATGTTCAAATAGGGCTGTAGAGTTTTTTTAAAAAAACATTCTATTTAATCATAAAGAAAATCAGGCAATATGTTCTTTTTCTTCTTCTATTTTGAAGCCTCTATGAAGTTTCCTGGAACTGCTTGAATACAATATGGAATGCACTTGTTCAGGGGGGAAAAATGACTTATATCTGGCAAAAAGCCAAAGATTGATTCAGGAACAGAAAATGAACTAATGGAAGAGTGTGGAGTCACAAAGTGCTTATCTGCAAAGAGCAAGAACTTCTGAAATGGCCTTACAATTCTAACCTACCACAATTCTTTCCCACAGAATACAAGGACGCATACATACATGTACACATATCCATACACACACATACATACACAGACAGACACACATCCTGATAGCAACTATGGAATTAACCTGCAGTAACTATACAGTTTACGTAAGCAAAAAAATGGTAAATTCAGCATATACCTTCCTTTGCTTGCCCAAAGAGGAGGCTAAAGTAGTACATATACACTCAAAATCATCATCAAAGCACCAAGCATGCATAAACACACAAAGAAAATGCTCAAGAAATACACAGTAGTGCTCAATATTTAAAATACAAGGCATTTGTTTATTTCACGGCCAGCTGCATAATGGTGATGTGCATATACAATCCCTCATCTAAAATTTGTTTACAGTAACTATTAGGTGAGGGGAGGAACACGCACATCCTTACAAACAGGCAGTCATAAAATACTTTCCAGGGTTTTCTACTGATCAACAGTTAAACCTACTAAATCTTTTCTAAGTTCTCTTAGAGAACTTTCAACATAGTTTTTCGGAACTGACCTTTCCCAGAAGGCTATATGTAGCCCAGGTTGCCCAATTGCAGGCATGGAATGAACCTCCCACATTCTTCCCAAGGGTTGGGCAGCTGCACATACAAGCAACTGATGAATTTTGTGGGGAAGCCACAAGAACAACTGAAGAAAAACATATACGTAGACTGCTTCTCCTCTTGGAGTCACACCATCCCTACCGTGCTCTTACAACCTTCCTCTATCAACCTCTTGGAGCTATTAAGATTCATTGGTGAGGTTGTATAACCAGAAGAATTGATGCTACCACAATGGCACAAATGACCTCTTAAGAAGTGAATTGTTGGGCATACAACGAAATACATCTGTATTTAGTTATCAAGTCCAAAAGCTGCTCCTGGTGCCAACAGAACTCTCCCAAAGTCATCTTGCTGCTAAACAATTATTTTTAATTTGAAAACACAGCCAAAAGACATACCAGAATGCATCCTGCATGTCATTCTATTTCAAGGGTCCATGGGAAACTGAGAGGGGCAAAGAGGAGAGAAACTAATCTTGTCCCCAAATACCTCTTCAAGAGGATCACCCACCAATTTAGGGTGCTCATTGAAAGAATGGTGGGTATTTTTCAGGGTGTTCTGGATACCTAGCTGACCTTGTTCTGTCCTTGCGGTATTTCTATCAAAGCTGCCCCTATAAATAGCAGGTTGGGTCCAGGGAATCGTTCAGTGTGCCCCAGAGAAGGTGGTGCTATTGTGTAGAATAATAGGCTGTTCTGCCCCCATTACTGCCAGCATCGTTCTATATATTCCCAAGATAACAGTGAGCCTTATAGAGGTGATACCTCCTGTTCCATTGTAGGGATGAGCATCTGAGAGTGGCATGTCCCCACTTGGGAAGCTGAGCCAATAAACTTTTACCTCAGGTCTTCTCCAGAGGAAACGCTGGGATTCAGATGGCTTCTCACTTGTGTAAATTCCCATTTCTTTTTGTCTCCTGAGATTGCCCCATTCCTGCATGAAATCAAGGTGCCATGGTGCTTAGCTCCTCCCCCCTCCCCCCACTTTTCAAGAGTGTCCAGAGGGTGGCTTTGCTACTATCCTGGCAGAATTGGCTTTTAGTTTCCTTGTTTCCTTCCTATGAAGGAAAATCCACCAAGGAAATTAGGATGAGTATTGGCGGAGGTATAGATTTTCCCACTTTCTCACTGACAAAGAAAATAGCCCTTCCTTCCCTTCCTTATCCATAAAAGTCCCAGAAAGTAGCCATGATGGTAGTCACACAGTGGCAAAAAGTGCAGAAAGTCAGAGGGGTGAGGTTGGTAACTGTGTCCAAGAGCCCAGAGTCATTAAGCCAGAACAGAGGGCCTTTTGCCTTCTACTGACAGTATCATGCAACGTGGTTGATGCGGCATTCTGCCCTTCTGCTTTGTCTGCTCTAGGTTGCCCAGAACTGTGAAAGAGAATCCTTCCCACCCATTCCTGCCAAGCCAATACACACTATTGATATGATGATAATGCAGGTTTATCACCAAAGCTTAAACACTGAAAACTGTGGCTATGGGGGGATAATTGCACTTTATTTTTCAGTTTATAATAAAATGGGAATGGAACTAATTTCTCACCCACCCTTATTAACATGAGGGGAAGAGAAGAGAAGAGAAGAGAAGAGAAGAGAAGAGAAGAGAAGAGAAGAGAAGAGAAGAGAGATGATACATGGAGACAAAAAGCATTAGTGTTCCACATGGTCTGTTTGGGAGTCCTTCCAGGGGAGATCAACACAACAACAAGAGCATATAAATGCTGGCGAGAAATAAATATATAAATAAAAACTAATGGTGATAAAGAACTACAGTAGGTGCCACGAACAGGACCAAAATGGTTACAAACCACCCCAACATGTGAACACCTTTGTTATGACTTTAATTAAATTACCTTCCTTCCTTCCTTCCTTCCTTCCTTCCTTCCTTCCTTCCTTCCTTCCTTCCTTCCT